CCCCCCCTCCTATTTCTGCACACCATCAGGGAGAGATGATCGATCGCATAGAGTATAATGTGGAACACGCTGTGGATTACGTGGAAAGAGCTGTCTCTGACACCAAAAAGGCTGTCAAGTACCAGAGTAAAGCCCGGAGGGTGAGTAGCCACTACCAAGAATATATGAGCTTATTCAATAATGAAGTGCAGAAAGCAGTTATTTCCTTTATATTATACATATTACATAGTACTGTACATTTACACCATTCACATCAATCCCTGCTCCAGTGGAGTTTACAGTTCAGTATCCTTTAAAACAACTAAAGGTTCCTGTATGGCAGTATAAACAACTACCAAATCCAGTTATTATGTGATGTGAAAGCCTCATAGAGTAAGCAAAAAACGTATTTTACCTTCCCAAAATGAGCCAAATTCTCCCTCATTTGTGTCTCACACGCTTCCCCTTCCAGACACTGCAGATCACAGTGGGAGGGTTCCAGCAACAAAGGCAGTGCTGCTAATGTGCAAGACTAGGAGTGGTCAGGTTCTAATTGATAAGCTACAAGCTTGTGAATCAGCAGTGACAATGCCGGTAGCCATGCCACCTGCAACATTTCTTCATCTGGCTGTTTTGGAAGTAAGGCTGTGTGGCACCAGGCAGGCTGCAAGGTGAAGATCTCCAGAGGGAGGTGCCCTGTAAAAGCATCCTCACCCTTACTCTACCAGTTGCTTGTCACAGGCTTATTTGATTGCCAGAGAACATTAAGCATTTTTCTAATGTACATCATATACCCTCATATACCAATATAAGAATTGAAAATAGATATAGTTTTGTATTGAGGCAATTTGCTGACAATGTATCTCTTTCCTTCTACAGAAGAAGATCATGATCATTATCTGCTGTGTGGTGCTTGGTATTGTCATCGCTTCAACGTTCGGAGGGATCTTTGGATAGAAGGTGTGATGACAGCCACAGTTTGCATGTTCAGGACATAGCAGGAAATATGCGGATAACAGTGCAAGCCGCACCTGATGGTGGGGGACTGACAGCGAAAATACGCTTCCTGAGAGGAGAGCCCCTCTGCATGACTACCCTGTGTGTAACCCAGCGCACATGCCCAGGGAGAGACTATTTGGTGCGGGAGGGGGAAGATGGGGTAGAAACAAAGCCAGACCTCCGTCTTGGAACCGGATGCAAAGCAATGCCCCTTTATTCTTCCCTTCCGAAAGACAGACCTCCAGCGATGGATCCAGCTTGGTGCTTTATAGGGATCAGTATAGGGTTAGATTTCCTGCGCTGCCTTTATATTCTGTCCCCTTGCCCACCAGATGCCTTTTAGGTTTGAAGCAGGATCTGTCTCTTCCACAGCCAACTAGACACCAGTGTTGGGCCAAAGTGCCAAGCATAGCCAACTCTCACTTCTTTGATGTAACCCCCACAGCCCTCCCCCTCTTAATAAACAACAACTTGGGACAGCGCGCTGGGACAGACCATGTTGGCCTCCCCTTTGCATGACAGGGGTTCAGTGTTTGGTTAAACATTTTAAGGTTGGATTCTGTTTTGTGTGATCCTTGCCCTTTACCAACTCCTCTCCAGGAGAGGGGCACACCTCCCCCTTATTTTTTGTATTATGTGCATACATTCTCTTTTGTAATTGTGTGAGCAAGGTGTCATCCTGTGTGTATGTCTCTCACCAAACCACTTATGCAGACAAATAAAAGTGTGTGGAGACTTCTGTGTACTGGAAGCTGTGGAGATGTCACAGTGGGGCGGGACAGCACCATCAGTCCAGCTGATGATGGTAGACCAAGCCCTGATGTGCCTTACGGCTTGTACCAGTTATGAGTTAACCCCTTTTTAGAGCTGCAACAAACTCCGGATGTTCCCAGCTCTGAAGGGATTAATCACCAGCATGCTTTGTGAGGAGAGATTTTATATTTGGTGTTATATCTTCCTGGTGTATATTGTCTGCTGCCCTTGTATGGCATTTAATAAATGATGTGAGTTTGGGAAACAGTAAAATATGTCAGGTTTTGAATTTTGTTACAGTTGTCTAGAAATAAGCGTAGCAAAAAGCTTTTTGTTGGAATAAAGGATTTTTTCTATCATGGAAAGCATAGTTGTATACAAAATATCTGCCATACCTATCACTGCCATAGACACCTTCAAATCTGAACACTAAAAAGGCACTTAAAGGAGAACTATGGGGTCAGTGTTTTTCCCCATAGTTCTCCTTAGGGTAACGGGAGGACACAAACTAGCGTCCTCCCGTCACCCTAAGCTCAGTATACCGCGAGCTACAGCTCGCGGTATACTGAGATGCCGCAGCCGGAGCGGATCCCACCATCGAGATTCGCCCAGCTGCGTGAGTGACAGCTGGCTCTGCCTATCTAGAGGCAGAGCCAGCTGTACCCGCCCCCTCCCTCGTCCGTTCCGCCAGTCAGCGCTGGCGGATCGGAGAGGGGAATCCAGCCCCTCCCCTGTCACGGCAGAGAGCTGTGACAGGATCGAGAGGTGAGCGAACGCCGGTATCTGTTCGCTCACCTCCCGATCTACTGAGCCGACCTGTGACAGTCTCATTGTCACAGGTCGGCTAGAACTATGAGGTGAGTGGAAATCACTCATCTCATAGTTCTCCTTTAAAGGAGAACTATGGGGTAAGTGTTTTTCCCCATAGTTCTCCTAAGGGTCATGGGAGGACACAAACTAGCGTCCTCCCATGACCCAAAGCTCAGTATACCTCGAGCTACAGCTTGCGGTATACTGACACCGCTGCAGCCGGGACGGATCCCCGAAATTACTGTCGAGATCCACCCAGCTGCATGATTGAGAGCTGGCTCTGCCTATCTAGGGGCAGAGCCAGCTGTACCCACCCCCTACCCCGTCCGTTCCACCAGTCAGCGCTGGAGGATTGGAGAGGGGAGCTGGGTTTTCCTGCTGGGAGACGTGAGTGACAGTCACGGCTCTCTGCAGGGACATGATCGAGAAGTGAGCGAGCGACGGTATGTGTTCGCTCACTTCCCGATCTATTGAGCCGACGTGTGACAGTGTCATTGTCACACGTCGGCTCGAACTATGAGGTTGAGTGAAAATCACTCACCTCATAGTTCTCCTTTTAAATACACAGATGACACCCATATATATAAACAAATGTACCTGCCGTGGGATCCTGTCCAGCAAAACTTGTGATGCAGTTATCTCCGGATAGAGAGTATAGCAAGGTGAATGATAGTAAGTTCACATCTGTCATCTGTACTTTGGTCATACGAGGCAAATGAACAGGTTCACATTAAATAGGCAGCCTCTACTCACTTCCCCATGCTTCCCCATTTCCCCATGCTTCCCCACTTCCCCATGCTTCCCCACCAGGGTGCCCTGAAATTCTTCCTGAACTCCAAAACATGCAGTGTTCAGCAAGCTTCTCTCTGCTCCGTGTAACAGTGATTGTTCTTAGGGTTACCGTGTGGGAGCATGGGAAAGGTGAGCAAAGACAGCTTATGATGTTAAAAGTATTCACTTGAAGCAATACAGCCTGAATAGAGCCCTGCCCCCAGGTTCCTGATAACCTAAGGGAACAGTACAAGCAATGCACATATGAATGGAGCTCCCACCCACAGTTCAATCACCTGCACAGGAACGTGCAGTACCGCAATGCTGTGCGTTCCATTGCAGTGTGACTTGGGTCGCGACATAATGACTAAGGACAAATGTGGGTCCTGAGGTTACACAGGTTGAGAACCACTGCTTTAAAGTGACACTGTGAGGGGAAAAAAATGTGGTTAAAAAGCTTTCCCTGCAAAAAAAAAAAAAAGATATTAGGTTCTTCTCCCACTGCCCCTACCACTGAAAGCCTCTCTGGGAGCAGAAATCTCCCTATGAAGTCTGTTCTGAAACTGACACTTTTTGGCGTGTTGATCTCCTGTGTCCCTCGCTGTGCTCAGTGGTTCCTCCAGCCTACCTTTATGTCACTATTGTTTCCTGTAGTTTCATGGAGGTTGTAGGAAGCGAGAAGATGACAGTAGGATGTCGTTATTCTTGACATCTGCAGGTTTTCCCGCTATAGTCCTGTGAAAAGACCCATCTAATGAAAGAATACAAGTATAGACACCCTGGACATGAACAAGCAGGGAGATTAGGAGTCAGAATACTGGAGTCAGTACTGCAGCCATTGGAACAGACCGAGAGACTGGTAACTAGCATTATCGGGAGAGGTCAGCAACAACAGCACCCGTATTTATTTCACCATGCGTTTACATGTCAGTTCACGCAGAGTCTAGCTTCAGTGAAAAAAACGAATCGGTATGTAAAGATCTAATGATACAGGCAACAAAAAGAATGTAAAACTTAACTTTCCCCACTCATTCATTACAGAACCAGTTGGGAGGGTCAGGAGAGGGTGGGGGGCCAAGGTTGCCTTGCACAGGAAAGGTCTTTATAATCTCTGGATCTACTGACATTCCTCATACACACAAAGTTCTCAAACTCAGTTTTGGCATAGGGCAAAGCACAGCTTATTAGTGTTGTGGCCTAAGGAGTGGATGCTGAAGAACTGCATAGTGGGAGGCCAGTGGAAATGTACAATTGTACTTCATACCTGGATGTACTGGGTTTTTATGGTGCTGAAGCGGCTGCTTGGGACATGCTCCCAATCTTCACTATTGCAGTCATTACATTAGGCTCAGCACAGGGTTGCTTTATTCACAGGGCTGTGGACAAAGGTAAGTAATATTCTGTTCATCCCCTAGAGCAGAAATAGGAAAACTCTGGCCCTCAGCTGTAGTGGAACTACAAATCCCATAATGCATCAGCCTCTGGTAGTCATGTATGTGTCTGTCAGAGTGCAATGTCTAATGGTATTTGTAGTTACATTGCAGCTGGAGGGCCGGAGTTTTCCGACCCTTCCCCTAGAGAAATGAACAGTGTATCCTTGACGAGCTCGGGAAGGGGACAGAACAGTTTTTTTTTTTTTTTTTCTTGGATTTCTACTTTAAGGAAAGACTTCATACTGTAACCTCAGGCGATCAACAGGAAAATATGTCTTGTCACATATGAGCTTATTATGGGCCCATTTTAGAACAGCCAAAGTTGGGCATATTACAGTGCTGAAACAGTATTTAAGTGGGTAAGATGTGCAGAGGGTATGACGGCAGGCAGTATGTGCAGGAGAGAAGTGCAGAGGGTATGACGGCAGGCAGTATGTGCAGGAGAGGACTGCAGAGGGTATGACAGCAGGCAGTATGTGCAGGAGAGGAGTGCAGAGGGTATGACAGCAGGCAGTATGTGCAGGAGAGGAGTGCAGAGGGTATGACAGCAGGCAGTATGTGCAGGAGAGGAGTGCAGAGAGTATGACGGCATGCAGTATGTGCAGGAGAGGAGTGCAGAGGGTATGACGGCAGGCAGTATGTGCAGGATAGCAGTGCAGAGGGTATGACGGCAGGCAGTATGTGCAGGATAGGAGTGCAGAGGGTATGACAGCAGGCAGTATGTGCAGAGGGTATGACAGTGGGCAGTATGTGCAGAAGAGGAGTGCAGAGGGTATGATGGCAGGCAGTATGTGCAGGAGAGGAGTGCAAAGGGTATGAGAGTAGGTAGCAAGTGCAGGAGAGGAGTGCAGAGGATATGATGGTGGGAGGTATGTGCAGGAGAGGAGTGCAGAGGGTATGGTGGTGGCAGCATGTCCAGGAGAGGAGTGCAGAGGGTATGGTGGCAGCATGTCCAGGAGAGGAGTGCAGAGGGTATGGTGGCAGCATGTCCAGGAGAGGAGTGCAGAGGGTATGATGGCAGCATGTGCCGGAGAGGAGTGCAGAGGGTATGATGGCAGCATGTGCCGGAGAGGAGTGCAGAGGGTATGATGGCAGCATGTGCCGGAGAGGAGTGCAGAGGGTATGATGGCAGCATGTGCCGGAGAGGCAGCCACATATGAGCGTATTATGATAATGTGCATTGGTGAACAGTAGCAGAGATCCTTTGCAATGGAGTGCTGGCTTCTTGCCCCTGAACGATTGGGTTGTGCAGCCCTAGGTATGGTACAATGTTATATAACACTGAACTAAGTTGTATTTACGGTAACAGAGAATGAGAGTTTATCACATTGATTGTTCTACAAATCTGGAAAGAGACTGACCTGAACTATTGTAGTACAATCATGTTATATATAGATGGTGTATAGCTTAATATAGAAACAATGATATGTAAACCCAATGATTAAAGTACCAAATATGCAGCAACATGTCAATGTCACTTCAAAACTCATTTGTAATATTTTAAAATCTGCAGTTTTGATTAATCTAACATCTGTTCTGATCATGTTCTGACTGGCACTGAATCATCTGGCCTGTTGACGGTGACAGGTACATGGCCAGTAAATCAACACTAAGCCATGGCTTCCTGCTAGGAGTTAAAGGGTTTCCAGACAGGAGGCTTTCCCTTCTAGCACCAAAACAAATGCTAAAACAATGATGGAGTATCAAGTATGGAGTCACATTGAACAAGCGGCAATGGAGATCAGAAGGGATAGGAAAGGAATATAATTAGTAATCATTACATATATATGAATCGAATATTAAATAATATTTATTGTATGCTGGGAGTGCCATGGGGCACATGTATGTCATATGCAGCACTCTGAGCTCATCCTTCACAGCTATTTTCTACACCAGGGTGGGGGCATCTCTGTGGCTGTGTGCCACGTAAAGAGAGACACCCTGTGGGCAACTACAGTACTACAAGCAGAATCCTTAAAGCTGATCACACACATTTCTGCTTCTTTCTAAATAAGAGAGAGGTGAAGGCTAACTGCATCAAATAAGCAAAAATAATAGAGTTGACGTACATTTGTGTGAACGTATCAACTGCCAGCAAAAACTACAATGCTGTTGAGTTTTCCAATTCAGACACTATACCAAGCCCTGACCTGGGCTCATGCACAAAGGGAAAAGGTCTGGCTGTGGATTCTTGCCTGTACAGAGCAACGTGAGGCTGACAGAGGCCGCAGATTTCTGCCAGCGTTTAAAATAAC